TGAAAAACCACATTTTTCGACACTGTTTGAACTTTGAAGATATGCTTTATTTTGATTGTTTAGAGCCTCGGCTCTATACAAAACGCACCCTAAGAGTAATATGAAGAATAGACCTATGGGCGTGACCAACCTAAATGAGGCAAATTCGTAGTGCATATTATCTGGATGATAATTAATTTTATTTGTGGTATATATTGTTTTATATGGATTTAATATATTTTGTATAAAATAATTTTGTTAACTGTTTGGCATATGCTTTGGATTACGTACAATATATTTAACCATTTAATTTTTTTTAAGTAATTTTTAGTTTTTTTAATGATTTTTTATTAAAATATATGATTTTCAACAAAAATTACTTTGAAAAAAATAAAAATATGTTTTTTAAAAGAACAAACTTTTATATAAATCTGCATATAAGCTTTTACAAATAACTTTGTGATCAATATTGTCAAACAACAGCGAATCCATTATTAAAAAGGTATTTTATATCATAAGATCATTGGCCTTTGATATAAGGTGGTCACAAGTACTTACAATCATCAGATGTAAAGTTTGATAGCTTGGATGCGTACAAAGTTCGGGATAATTTCTTTTGAAATTTGAACTAGGTCAATGGATTAATTGCAGCCACCCAATTTTACATCCAATGATCAAGATTGTTTTCTCACTTTGTACCAAAGGTAGATGGTCGCATTCTATACTTTTCTTATTAAAAATAATTTTGTAGAAATGCCTCCACACATGCCCTTGTGGAGTGGTCATAAGCGCACAGGATACCATGCATCCTTTGATCCCATGGTCATAGACAATCATAATTGCAAAAATTTAACGGCCACATGAATCATGGCTTGGTTTTGACTTGGATTTGGGTCCAAGCCTTTTGCACACATATAAATGAATAACTGGGTGGATCTGGGTGTCAAACTCATACTCGGTCCCAATTGGGATCCGTTTTGGGCTTATTCAAAACCGAGACCTAATCGGGTTTGAATTGGATGGACCTTGATCGTATTCACTATTTTGCTCTCAATCAAGAAGAAAGAGGGAGTAACCAAGAGTAGGGGTCGTAATTGGGTCAGGTTTACTCTCCCACCATCGGCCCAGGTCCATGCCTGAACCTAAACACTAGACTCGGTGGGTCGGTTTGGATCCTGGCTGTATATTTATTTACATAAATCATGTATAATTGATAATTTATATACATT